AAAAATAAACATATTTTGTAGATTTGGGATGCCGAGAGTTATCATAACTGATGGGGGAAGTCATTTCAGAAATGCCATAATGCATAAATTATTAAATAAATATCATATAAATCATAGAACTGTTACTGCTTATCATCCTCAGACAAGTGGTTTGGTTGAATTATGGTTTGGTGTGGTTTGGTTGAATTATCCAATCGAGAAATTAAAATAATTATGAAAAAATCTGTGAATCCAACAAAAATGGATTGGTCAGTCAAATCTGACTATGTTTTGTGGACTTATAGGACTGCATATAGAACTTTTATAGGAATGTTGTCAAATAGGCTAATATTTGGGAAAGCTTGTCACTTACCAGTTGAACTTGAGCATAAAGCATATTGATAAAACTTGAGCATAAAGCATATTGGCTGATTAAGGAGTTTGATTATAATTTGAAAGATGCTGGTGAGAAAATATTATTGCAATTAAATTAACTTGAAGAGATAAGGAATGAATCTTATAAAAGTGCTAAGATTTACAAAGAAAAGATGAAGAAGTGACATGATCAAGGAATTCTTACTAAAAATATTCAGTTAGGGCAACAAGTTTTGCTATATAATACAATGTTAAAATTATTTCCAAGCAAACTTAAGTCCAAGTGGATGGGCCCATTTGTTGTGATAAAAGTTTATCCTTATGGAACTGCGGATATTAAAGATCCTAAGACTAATAAAGTGTTTAAAGTGAATGGTCATAGACTGAAACTTTATTTTGTAGGGGATCAACATAAATTTAATGAAGGAATGATGTTGGGTCAACTAGAATAAGCACTGGTTACGTCGTGCTGACGATGTAAAGCCAAGCACTTTGTGGGGGCAACCCATAATTATCAGTGTGTTTTCTTTGATTGTTGTTTGTGTGTGATTGAGAAAATTGTGGCAGTATTTTTTAGACTATTATGTGTTAGTATTGATTTTAAGACTTTATTTAGTAACCTAGACATATTAGAATGAGAATTTGGATGTTTAGTTGACTGATGCAAAAATGTGCACTGGCGCTTAAGCGCCAATATTCGAGGGCGCTTAAGCGTGGCAGTTAAAAACCATATGCAAAATTAAGATTCTAGAAGGTTTAACCACCAATTAGTTCGTAAAAACGTGTCAAGGCAGTTCCAAGACGTGCTTAGGAGTTATTAGAAGGATTTAGGCCTATAAATAGAAAGGTTTAAATAGAAACCTATAAATAGAAAGGTTTTGTGAAGGAATTTCACCCCATATCATTTTCAGCCCTAAAGTCTATAAGAGAGAGATTTTGATAAGATGTCTTCATGGGAGATAAATTTGAAGAATAAGGAAGAGATTCATTAGTCAAAGTGCACAAAAGATGTATAACGGTTTCTTAGCCATTAGTATCGAAGGAATATCGGAAAAGATCAACAAAATTGAGACTATTATGGCTTTACTTGAGACCAAGGTAATTGAGATTCATGCACATCTTCAGCATATTGGATGGCAATTAAAAATACAATTTAGTCATACTAGTTATATAGAGGAATCGGATAAGGAGATGTTTCTTAAGAAGAAAAGGATTGAAGAAGATAATATCAGATTTCGTCACCACCATTCGTTTTATCAACTTTATATTCTGATTGCCCCAGGAGAGACTAATGAAAGACCAGAGTTTGTCCTATCAAATGAAGAATGGAATTAAGTTTGATGTCAGAGTTATTTTGTTAGGAGTCGTTGTGTTTATGTGTTAGTGTTTAAGTCTTGTTTTTAGTGTTTATGCTTTTATGTGTTTAATTGTGAATGTTTGTTAATTTTTTGTGCTCAGTAAATTTTCTCATCCGAGACTATTTGGAGTGAGAATTAAGTGTTACTTGTATTTATGCTTTTATGTGTTTAATTGTGAATGTTTGTTAATTTTTTGTGCTCAGTAAATTTTCTCATCCGAGACTATTTGGAGTGAGAATTAAGTGTTACTTGTATTTATAATAGTTTGTGAATGAATATACATTTGTTTGTGTGAAAATTAGTGTTATTTTTAGCCTCGAATTGAATTGAGTTATATAGAGAATGTTGAGAGAGGGGAGAGTTAAAGAAGATGAAAATAATCATTTAAGTATTATGAGACCATTTAGGGGTGGCATACTTAGGAAAATAGTACATTTTTCTTAGATTTAAAAATCTCAAAAATTGTGCACTGGAGCCTAAGAGACACATTCTCGCGCTTAAGCCCGTGGTAATCCGAGAGGCAGGTGCCTAAGCACCACTTATCCGCGCTTAAGTGTCGGTTCACGAAAAATCGCTTTGCGAACAATTAAAAGTGAAAAATTAACCCGAAAATCACCATTTTTCACCCTCCTGCCACCTT